ATTTCAACTAATACTAGGGTAAAGGTTTTACAAGATTTCAAAGGAGTCTGATTTTCATATGACAGCGGAAACAAGCCTTTTTTCTTAAATGAAGTTTGGATGAGAGAAATGTATCGTAAATCAGTATTAACCTGAGTGTCTGAGGAGCAGCAACATGGCCTGCTCAGGACATGTGGGAGGGGAGGGGGAGGGGCCACATTACCAGCTGGGGGGGACACCACAAGAAAACACAGAAGTGTAGATAATGTTTTTACGCTTCTGGTTTTTGCCAATGGGGGCTTAGCATTTGCTCGCTTTGCGGAGACCACTATTTATGAGGCGCCCCCTCTATTGATGGAATCTTAACACTTGTTTTATTTAGCGCGTCCTTTCTGGAAATAAACTTCCATTAGTTGTTTGACGGTTTCTCGCGAAATAGAATCTCCTCATGAGTAATACATCAAGACCGATTACTGGCTGAACTTACAACTTAAAACATCTGGGCCTGGTAGGCTCGGGTTATTGCGTGTGTCATATTTCTTGGACGTTAACTTTTTGTTTTCATTCGGTTTGTATTTTTCGCGTTTAAGATACTATATTTGTTTCGGTCAAACATGTATGATTATTTCATTGTTTGACAGTTTCCCCATAATATTAAATATCATAATGGTACGCAGTCATCATGACAAATCACAAGACGAAATTCTAATTTTGAAATACAGAATTAACTCGTTTCGGGGGCAATAACTTAAGAAATACTACATGTATTCAATTAAAATTTCAAACACCGTGCGTTGGAGATCTACAGTCATAAGTATTACTAAAAAAAAAAAATCGGGAAGTACGTGTAATTATCACTTGTCTTTAGGAGTCGATTTACAGGTCTTGGGGTGCAGCCCTGTATTAAAATTCCTATAGACACCAATGCTAAATGCCCATATTTCAAAATTCTTGTAAAAAACACTCAGAACTCTTACAGGTATAAGTGCACAGAAAAAAAGGTAATCAACATGTCATCTTTTATTTTATTTTCATTTTTTTTGTGGGTTGACCATTGACTTTTCGAGATATTCTCACCCAAAGAAGGTGACCCCTATATTTTTCCCAAAGTGGAATAGTAGTCATCTTCAAAAACGATCCCTCCACAACATGACACAATAGGTAAAAAGGGTAGTCTTTACAAAATATGGGGGGGGTAAATACCTCCCTTACCCCCCCCCCCCTCCGCTGGCTTCGCCTGTTATCTCCCATTAATCTGCGAAACGCAACCATGCACCTTATCTATCCCCTTCAAACCCAAGCCAATCTGAACACCCTGCCCTTCACAGGCGGATGCAGAACAACACTGTCGGTGGGCTTCCGGTTGTGTTGAGAGGGGAGGGGGGGGGGGGAAGATGGGCCTGACATCCATTTTTCATTTCTCATGTTGTTCTGTCTACATGTTTTAGCATTATAAGAATCCGTGGGGTATATGGGAACTACACCATCGTCTGAGTGCCATTCATTGTTCTTGATGAATTATTATCTCAACATCCAACTTGGAAATGATTATTCCTTTTCTTCCTACATTGTCTTCTGTTACAGATAATCCATCTGGTCTTCCTTGTTTGTGTTTACCCATCTTTCATCCCCTTCCACCTCAATACTGTCCCCCCCCCACATCATCCCTTCACTCTCACACTCTTTTGTCCGTTCCCACTCCCTGTGACCTTTGATCCTTCCCCTTTCTGGTCCCTCCCATGTTTACACAAGACCCCTTGGGGTTTGCCATCTCCCTTTGTTTCTTTGTTCTCTCATCCACCCTCCCCCCGCATCTTTCCACACCTTTCACACCTAATCCTCCTTTTGTGTTTCTTCTTTCAGCCCTGCATGTTTGTGTGCACCCCCATGTTAATGTATGTACCTCTGTCATTTCTGTTTTAGCCTCTGAAGAAGAACTTGCTAAGTTCGCAACGTCAGGCCACATTAATTTGAAGATTTAAATATTTCAGGTCCATCCAGTCAGTAAGCAGTTTGCAGCAGTTTTACTTTTTTTCATGAATTATTGAAAGATAAGTAACAATCGGCATCATATTGTGCTCCCCGCCCCTCATCTTCAATCCCTAACCCCCTCGAGATTACTTTGTTCGTAAGAGTTAGACCGTGATTTGCTCGTTCATTTCAACGACAATTTTTTTCTGTAATTTTAATTTCTTGAGAGGAATTCGATGGAATGTATTACGATTGGGACAAGGTTTTCCACATTGTTAAAGGCTAAATGTTCAATTAAAGTAATGTTCAAAATACAGTTTTCGAGTATTTATATGCGTTACTGATTACATTTATATATGTTTAATTTCTGTGCTTAAATTAGTTAAGCTGTTAAATAGAGCACATCCTCAAATGTATACTTGGAAAAAAATGTTTCTTAGAATCAAATATATACTATAGAATCATAATTGCATAATCTGCTGATATAGTGTCACATTATCAACTTAAATTACATTAAATCGTAAACAATTTCATCATAGTGAAAGCTCTAGAACTCAACTGTTAACATGAAACAAAAACTCAATTATACATGTATAACATGGGATACAAAATAAAGTGTTTAACAAAAGTTGAAAGGTCTTGGTTCACTGTGGCGCAATTTGAAACTCTTGTTTTTTTCAAGAAAAAAAGTTTCCGAGGATAAATAAATGATATCACCAGACTTCATTGAGTGTCTGGCTGTATACGGTATGCGAAATGTAAATGAAAAAAATAAAAAAAAAATATTTTTAATACATGCATTTGTTACTTACCAGACAGACTATTGCAACAGTTTATGTTGTTGTTGTTTTCATACGATTACCAGTTTAAGAAATAACAACATGTATGCAGAAGGAAGGGTCGTACGCCCATACTTTAGGAACTACGTTGGCTCTCGGTTACGGTGCGGAATGAATTCAAAATTCTTTGGTACTTTTCAAACTTATCCGCCATGATGAGGCAGCGCTACTGTACTGTAAACACAGTTCCTTCATTTAACATTCGCACTAAAAGCTGTGATGGGGTTCAGTTCAACCTTCCTTAAGTTCGTCCAAAGCCTGGCGAGGCATACGGTGACCGTGCAGACGTCCACGTTATTTAAGCAAAAAATATTGAGGCCTCCCACCTCCGCTTATTAAACCCAGCCTATACCAAAACCAAACACAGAAATATGCAAACCCAAATCTTGACCCTCGCCCAACCAAACCCAATCCCAAACTCACCCAACTGTTTCGATCCATCCGTGTACAACATACTTCTTTCCTTAGCAATTACAACCTTAGGAGGGCGTCACTTTCTTGTTGCCCATGATAGTGTACTTACAACAGAATTGTCATTTTTTTCCGACACTTGATCTCGAATTATTGTTCTCCTAAATGTAATATGGGATGTTTGTTTCTTGGTGGGCCGCTAGCATTTGTTCTAGCTCCTGGGAAAAATTTGGATCCCGGACTACCTGTTTATTGTGAACGAATTAATTATGTATCATACAATACCACTGTGTGAAGCTGTGAGTCACCCTGATTTCCCATTTGAAGGCATCTGTATGGCCAAGTTCTTAGCAAGCTCACTATTGACCTAAACTTGTTTTTCTTTATATTTTTTAAATTACTACTTTGCCAGTGAAGATAAGGCTGGATATTACTTTATGGTATTAAAACGATTTTATCTTTTTTTCACAAAATATTAATTTCGTAAATAATTGTTAACTCGCATTCACGTCAGTCTGCCAAGCCAGAATTGGCAAGGGCTACACTGTGCTTCAGGTTAAGATATACTAACTCAGAAAATATTGGACATGTGTGTCATTGACACAAACATTTCCTTGGCTTATGCTATTGTTTTTAAATTATGATAGTTTTCAACTGGCAATTTGCCAAATAGACAAGGAACTGTTAGGAACGATGAAAAATTCACTAATGACGCACGACAATTCCTATTTGATTCAACGTTAAATTTCTTGAACTACACCAAACAGTTTTCTCGACATGCTCAACGCATCATTCGTGTGTTTAGTTAAAGAGTGTTAATTGCTGTTCTTTTTCACACAAACACTGGTTCTATCTGTCTAGTACCGCAATTATCTCAGCTTATTCCTCAAAATGTCATATGATTCTACCAAACAGTTTTATATTGTGTTCTGAATGGTTAACAAGGTTATGTTTAAATATGTAATATTAATATTGTAGTTTTTTCTGATACTTGAAAGGACGTTTTTTTAATTGTTGGTAAATTATAAGGAAATTATATGTATGTATCTACTTACATCCCAAACGTCTTGAATCTGAGTGGGAAGTAGTATTACTGGTTAATGTTTTATGGCAACTATACTTTACTTTGAAAAATGTAAAATTGCCATGGAAACAATTTAAATAATTCAATGAACATTTTGTTGCAATGTATTTATTAATATACATTGAACTGCAAATAATAAATTAAATATAAAATACATGTATAAATAATATACAATGTACTCAATTTTAAATAAAATATCAAGGACTCCTGAACCCAAAGGGAGATTGGTTGCTTCAGTTAGATTAGTATTCATTTTGAGTTCGCGTTACGCAAGTCCATATATACATTATTTTATAATACGTGCATTTGTTAATTCTCGATTAGCTTATTAAACAGTTTGTTTCTTATTTTTGGTTCATCCGAGAAATATTTCTGAATTTGGAATTTTTCAATCACGGCTTAAAATATTTCCATCTAAAACTGAAACTATTAATTTTACCCTTTTCTAATGATTTTTTTTAAAGTAGTTTTGATTTTTGTAAACCATTTTCATATATCAATGCTAAACATGTAGCTAAAATTATTCATTTTTATCATACCTGTTAATGGTGCCCATAGAAGACATTTTGTCGTCATCAAGTATTACTATTATTGCATTGAACATTATTTCTGTTAATTCATTGGTTATTGTTTCGGCAAAATGGAATGCGATTTTTTTTCGGGGGGAGGGGGGCAACACTGCTCCTGCATATTTATGCGAGGTGATTATTTATCAATTAATTAATTGACTCCGGGAAAAGGAGGAAGCCGCTGAATGAGGTGTAGTTACCACCATTCGCCCTACCGTGCATGGTAACATACACCGTGTCTCCACGCTGGAGACTCAGCACCGCGCTTCCAGACAACTGACCTCGTTGATTTACTTCGCCATGGGTGGAAATCACCTTGTCATTGTTTTTAACAAGATAAATGCTAAGGGAACCGCTGTTGCCATACTTAAGAACAGAAAACGTAAATACGTAAGTGCCCGGCACACTACAGGTGAACGTACCGGTCTCGAGATCGAAATTGGTACCCGGCAGAAGCGTCTCGGTCTGCTCGAAGGGCAAACGGGTTTCGTGACTCTTGGATTCATCTGGGTCGGTCGTCCTCACCACGGTGAATGCCACCCGCTGGTTGGAGTCGTCTGGAGTCTCCCCTGACTCACCCTTCTGACCTTTGACACCAGTTTCTCCGATTCTTCCACCAACACCAGGTAGCCCTCTCGGACCTATCTTGCCAGGCAGGCCAATCCCATCGTCACCTCTAGACTCAGTGTTCCCAGGTGCTCCCCGATCACCCATAGGTCCAATCTGTCCAATCTCACCTTTGTGACCTGGCTCACCCTTGTCGCCCTTTGACCCCGGCTGACCGTACGGCCCCATCGGTCCTATTTGTCCAGGCAGACCTGGTATGCCGGGTATTGCAGCAGGTCCCTGGCAGCACTGCTGACACACCTGAGACGCAGGACCATCGCCATCCGAGGGAACCGGCCCAGTAACGAAAGCTCGGAGCTTGACAGAGTTACCCAGAAGGAGGGCGATTGACAGAATGGTGGCCACGCAGATCTTCATCTGTAAAGAAACCAATACATCAAACTAAAAACAAATCAATCGAGAATGGCCAAAACAAAAATAAATCAATAGGAAGAAGAGTAGAGAAAAATATTGAGGTAAGATAAACTGAATAATTTGTCTAAAAGACATTTCTGACTTTGAGAAACAATAAATAAGAGAATGGGTTCGGCTTTATTATGACAGCGGCCTTTCTGGGGCCAAGGGGATCAAATGTATGAAAAGCGTAGTTTTGGGGCTCAACCCTTAGAATAGAACCTGGAAGCTGACACCTGGTGGCGCGCTTCCGGACCCCTCAAAATACGAAAAATATAGCGTGTAAAAGTCGGAGTTTTAAAATTTTGATCATTGGGACATTGATTCTTCAGATAATCACCCTCCGTAAAATTGTTACTAGCATCTCAAATAGAAACTGAAAATCCGCATGACGTGAAAGAGAAAAATCGTTCCAAAAAATGACATCTAACTTCCAAAAAGAGAAAGGGCAACCCAATGTAAAATGCCCATATAAATGTCGTGTGTAGGGGGGGGGGTCCAGGCGCTCAAAGACCAATGGCGCGCGTACTTTAAGGTTCTATGGGTGCAACTCTGCATTAAAATTCCCCAACACTATATTGCTAAATGCCCAGATCTCCGCGTTCACAGTGACCGCTATTTTGTGTAGCGCGCCCTCTTTTGAACGAAAATGCTTTTGACAAAATTTACGGGTGTGCCCAAGGCCTTACGGGTGCAACCATGCATTCAAATACCCATAGACATAAGTGCTAAATGTCCATGCTTCAAAATTCCAAAGAAGACAGCCCCTATTTTCCCCCAAACTGGAAAGGTAGCCATCTTGAAAAACGTTCCCACCACAACATGGCAAAATAGCGCCAGAGGTTATTGCTTATATCTCTTCAATTCCCAAATTGTATGGCTCTCAGAACTCTCTCACATAAAACATTTTGACGGTATAACTTTTATTTATGAGCTCGGCGGATGGATTGAGGCCTATATACCGGTGTGCACCTTTACACACTGCATCATTTGTTTTCGATGCAGTGTTTTCGTCAACGGTTCCCATCGATTTCAATTTTGTGAGTGCTACATATTACGACCAATTACCGAACGAAATTTCAATTCAATGCAATGTTTTTGGTCTTGACTTATCTTCTCTACAATGAATGTTTTTTTTTTTGTGCATTTAAAATTGACTCGAGTTTGGATTTTTTTGGGCATATAATACACTGTATATTTGTGATCATACTTCATTTTTCTTCAACGCTTCCAGTCCATTTTCACTTTTGTTGTTTCATATATCACGACCAATCATCAGACGACACTTCAATTCAATGCAATGTGTTTTTCTGTAGTTATTCTTCTCCACAAAGAGTGTATATTTTCGTTCAATTAAAGCCGACTTCAGTTGGACAGATCTCCGCGTTCACTGTGACCTCTATTTGAGTAGCGCGCCCTCTTTCGGAAGAAAATGCTGTTGGCAAAATGCGATTTGCCAAAAAGCCAAAAACCTTACTGTTGCAACCCTGCATTAAACGTCCCATAGACACTAGTGCTAAATGCCCATACTTCAAATTCTTTTAAAAATATAGGTTTTCCCAGCTATTTTAACACTTTTATCACGCGAATTCCCTATATCGATACTTTAATTTCGTCCCCGAACATCGCCAAGCTCAATTCTCAATTTGAATTTCAAAAAGCCACCACTAGATTTCATTTAAGGTTCAGTATAATTCAAATTGTTAGCATTCCGATTCGTCCAAATCTTTCAAATTCGTCTCGTGAAGCAATCGGCGTTGAATTGAAAAAGCAAATTTGTTTTTTTGTCATTCGTTTTAATGTTCTTGTCGTTACATTTCGTCTCTGGTGACTTAAAACGCTACGATTAAAAATGTGCCCAATCTTTGGACTTGTTTGTGCATTAATTAAATTTCAATTGTTAACAAATATTTCCTTATCAATGAAAGTATAGCTGTAAATTTTGAGTTTTCTTTGACAATAAACATTAAAATCAGAAATTGAACTTTCACAATATGCTCTTTGCTTAGCATATGGAAATTAAGCATTAAGATCAAACTCCTTCGTAATGTTGCTCTTTGATATATGTATATGAATAAAACAACAGAAATAAGGTTTGTCTATCAAAGAACAGCATTAAGAAGGTCTTTGAACTTAATGCTTAGTGCCCATGTCATTTCAGTGCAAATTGTGAAATGTCAATTTTTACTCGAATGTTAATTATGAAACACAGAAATAAAAATTCATGCCTTACAGCTAACTACTTTTATTTATACATATAAGGAAATATATGTTGACTTATCATTGTTTTAATTCGCATAATTCTTCAAATAAGTCTAAACATTGGGCGCATCGTATACGATTTAAGTCACCAGGGACGAAATGTAATGACAACAACATGAAAACGATTGACAAAAAACGAATTTGCTTTGTCAATTCAACGCCAATGGCTTCATGAGACGAACTTCAAAGATTTTGGACGAATCGGAATGCTAACAATTTGAATTATACTGAACCTTAAATGAAATGTAGTGGTGGCTTTCTGAAATTCAAATTGAGAAGTGAGCTTGGCGATGTTCGGGGACGAAATTAAAGTATCAATATAGGGAATTTGTGTGATAAAAGTGTTAAAATAGCTGGGGGACCGAATTTCAGAAGGTTTTTTATTTTAGGGGGTGCTGTGGGGTGGATGGATTGGTGCAGGGGAAAAGGGGGGACTATATATCTCGCCCCTTCCCTTGTCCCGATAGAGTCATCAAATAAACAGCAAAACACCCACCTCGATAGTTCGTTCTGCAGTTGAATATCAGGTCCAAGAAGAGATCACAAGGAGTTCAGTGTAGGCTTAAAAAACATACCAACGGAAACCTGCAAAGTTTATACTTGAGTAGAGAACAACATAATTTTATGATCGATTCTGAATTAATAGTATTTTTTTTTTCCTTTTCGATAAATCAATATTCGAAAACAGGAACATTTACTCACTAATAAATAACGCTATCATGATTAAAATAATGGACACTTTCCTGGCCAAAAACGTTCAGAGAAAGCAACCTGTGTTAATATTGCATTGTTAAAATTTTCGTTTATTCTCTGCCTCAGTGAATGAGCATTCGATGTAATCAAAGTAAAAGGCTTTCATTAAAAGTTTTATTGAAATTTATGTTTAAGAACAATGGGTACCGGTAGATCTATTTTTGGAGTACTAGTAAAACATTAAATACAGTTTTCTTTTAGAAAGCAAATTATGTGAGTTTTACAGCAGCATACGATTATTTCAAATAGCTTTTTTTTTTCTTTTCAACTTCACACCATGCTCATTCAACAATACAAAACTTTCTTTCAAATTCTTCGTACTTGCGTGAAAAGCATGAAAAGCACTTATAAATGCATTGAATTTTTGAACCTTCGATGTCACTCCAGCTTGGGCATTCAATTTGATCACAGGACTGTTCTAGATATATAAAAGCAGCATCATTAATGTTCAATGAAATTGGGTAGTTGCATTATAAACAAGATGTTGTGTTATAGTGTTAAAACAGGTGAAAATGGCAGGACTTTTGAGAAAGCCGTATAAAGGAATTTACAGCCATTTATAATGCCAGGGAAGGAAATGTACAAATGAACACTTGCAAAGTTTCAAACTGATAATAAATTTGGAACACTCACCCATTCAATACTTTGTACAAATTGAGTTTATTGTACTTTCGTTAAAAATGAAATCAAATTCGCCTATAGGCCTACTCGGTGTAAAATCGAAAGTAAACAAATGAAAATGTAGAAAACAGTTCGACCACAAGCTGTTGTAAAACATTTAAACGAAATCGTAAATGCTCTAACTGCGACCTAATGAAATGAACATGCTATCGCTTTAGCACTTTACAATTTTAAAAGTTCTGATATGCATATTTCCTTCCCTGACATTTTCCTAAGAAATATGCGGACAGCAGAGCCAAAGGGCCGAAAACTTTCTACAAACAACAACTGTATGTATCAGTTCTACAAATGAATCATGCTCGATAAAGCAATTTGAATTTGAAGACAATTATGTGCATCATCATGATCGGGTAAGTTTGTATTTGCGCCCTCTAGTCTATTCCAACCAGTGACACTTTTAACCTGCAACGCTTGCAGGTAACTGATCAAACCGGAATGGTGCACCTGTGAACTAGCAAATTGACACGGTTTAACCAGTTCAAAGGTACAAAGAATACACACAGTATTAATAACACAAATAAGACAGGCATGTTTTAGTTGTCCGGATTTCCTGTATACTTACGTTCTTCCGTGACCAATTTCCACAGCGTTAAATTAGTTTGAGTGATTGCCGGGAAAACATGTGAGTGCATCACACAGGGATTTTATGTTTGAACATTAAAGTGATACAATAAACAGGAGAAACCAGCAAGAAAATAAAGTGGGTTATTGATCATAATGATTTTATGGGTCAGGATATAAAGGGTCGAGCTTCCGCAAGATTTCTTTTCTTTTAACAAAAATGTAAACAAAAAGGGGAAATATTAATTCGTCTTGAATATTGAAAGCGCGTGAATTTCAATAACAGCATGGAACTTGATGTAGCCATATACATTCTTCAAACAAAAATACAGCCTGGTTTGCACAGAAAACAGTCGCACGTGAATAGCCATGTTTATTGACAATAAACACTTCCATGAATCTATGGTGTGCTATCTCTAGCGACAAAAATCAAAATT